CAGTCGGCCACCAGTGTCTTTTTTCAGATATTTGTTGACAGTTGTGCCAGCTATTGGTACATTGAGCTACATCTCCCTCCTACACGTGTATGGTGGAATGTTTCTAAGCTCAAGGCTTGTTTTTCTATATATATGGGGATTCCTCCCCCATTTTGGAGGGTTAGAAAATTTGGAACAAAACTCTCTCTCTCTCTCTCTCTCTCTCTCTCTCTCTCTCTCTTTCTAGACTTTTCTTTCTCTCTCTTGTAATCTTATACACATTTGCTCACAAATCCTACACTTTTGCCTATACACCCTTGATAGAAGTTTCTAGTCTTTGGGCTGAGGTAGCTTGGGACTTGTTTTGAGCTCTAGAAGGAGGTTTTTGGCTTAGATTGTTGGCCAAATTGTGTCTTGGCTTCAAGAGGTATAACACTCTCTCTTTATATTTGTTTTGTACCCTTGTTTTGCCATCTTTCTCAATTGTTTTGAGGTTAATTTTGAACTGTAAAAAGCTCTATTTTTATGGCTTAAAAGTGTTGGCTTGAGGCCATTTTCAGTTAAGGGGTGATTCACCCTTCTTGCTTCTTTGCTTGTAAAGTTTTTGTGCCTTTGTTCATCACTTTCTAATCAACTTTTGTGGACTTTTTAACCACTGAATTTCAGAGGTTTTTCAGTGGCAAATTTGTTCACAAATTACCCTCTCAATATGAGATATTAACGTGACATTTCTTATGATATCAACCCCTTGAATAGAACTCATCTTTAAAAACTAGTTTGAAAAAAGAGGGTGTCCAACCGCCAATATACACAAGACCAAAATTTATGTTAACCGAACCATGCTCTGCAACCGACGTCTACTTGACCCTATGATAACTCTTTATAATGCTTTTAAGGGGAATAGTCACCTATCAATAGTTGATACCTCATTGGTGTATTAATCTCGCCTAAAGGTCACCATTTTCGCAATTTGAACGGCTAAGTCATACTCATGCAATCCCATATTACACATGGTGGTTGGTTTTGATATAAATTGATACAAAACTCATGAGTAGAACTCATTCTTAAAATAAATTTGGCTTGTAAAAAAAGTGTCCAAATAACTTACTCCCCCTATCTTAAAATAATAGTCTCTTTCAAGAATTTTTTTTTTTTTGCTAGTACAATTATTGTACTTTAAAAAAATTAATTTTCCAAAATTACCCTTTGATAGTACATTTTTCAGAAAATATCAATTGTTATAATTGTACTTTTTATGTTGTTAATGAATTTAAAAGAAGGGCAAAATAGGAAACTCATGTAAATGGCGGCTACAACTATAACGGTCCTAAGGTAGCAAAATTCCTTGTCGGGTAAGTTCCGCCCCGCACGAAAGGCGTAACGATCTCGGCACTGTCTCGAAGAGAGGCTCAGTGAAATAGACATGTCTGTGAAAATGCAGACTACCTGTACCTAGACAGAAAGACCCTATGAAGCTTTATTGTTTCCTTGGATTGGCTTTGGGCCTTTCCTACACAGCTTAGATTGAGGGCAAAGAAGGCCTCCTTCCGAGGGGACCCAAGCCATCAGTGAGATACCACTCTAGAAGAGCTAGAATTCTAACCTTGTGTCAGGACCTACGGGCCAAGGGACAGTCTCAAGTAAACAGTTTCTATGGGACTTAGGCCTCCCAAAAGGTAACGGAGGCATACAAAGGTTTTCTCGGGCCAGACGGAGATTGGTCCTCGACTGCAAAGGCAAAAGGGAGCTTGACTGCAAGACTAACCTGTCGAGCAGGGACGAAAGTCGGCCTTATTTTTTGAAAAGGGACTAATATTTTTAAACAATAAAAATGGAATAAAAGACTAATATTTTTAGATGGAAAGAGTATATAAACATAACCAAAATCTATATTAATTGATGTGGGATCATAACACCCTAATAAAAAATTGTAATCTCTGGAGATGAATTACAAGGATAGAATGTCTATTTGGTTAAAAGTAATGTTAAAGATCCTAGCAGTTTTATTAAAAATTTTACCAAATGTCTTATATGAGTGTGGAATTCATACCATGTGAGTCTTATATAAATCTTACAACTATGTGAGACATTTGATAAAAAATTTAATAAAATTTTTAAAATCTTTAACATGTTTGTTTAGTTAATTTCCTAGCCATTGGGGGAAACATATCCCATTAATAAAAGCTTGTGTTTCTTCTACTCATTTGTGTAATGTGTGCCAACTAATGAATTTCATGTGCTTAGGTATGCTAAATCCAAAACATCATAATGATCACAACTTTGAGATGTTGTACCATTTCACGAGGTTCGTTTTGGGTTGTTTCAATTTGAGTTAGGTACCATCGAAATGTAATTAATTATTGCTAAGATTAATCTAATACCAATTGCCCTTATTTCATCTACTTATAGAACACCAAAATTAACATAACGGGATGTATGTAGAATTTATTATTATTTTTTTTAAGTTTCTATGTCATCAAAATGGAGATGAATTTATGCAAGAATTGTGGTAATTTCATTTTTAAAAAAAAAAAAAATTCTTTTGTTTCCAGAAATGATTTTCATTTCTTAAATCTAAACCTTAAACAAAAGAGAAACATGAAAATGTATTGAATTTGGCTACAACCCTTAAGAACTTCATAATCATCACCCGTTGACTGAACAATTTTTTTTTTTCAACTTGAAGACTCAAATCACATGAAAGACTTTGCTTATATTAATTTCATAATTTGACGGGTAAAAAATGATAGTAACAAGCATATACTATTATTAATAGTGAGAAAAAAAAGGATGAGGGTAGTTCTGTAAATTCAGTAGCAAAGAAAATTACTGTTTGAGGACTCATTTTTTTTATTTATTTATTTATCACAAATCATTTTTTTATCATACGATTAACCTAAAGAGATCTATTATATAATAAAAAAGCAAATTAGGAGAAAATGTCAATAAAGAATTTAGACGGAGAATCCCACCTCCATACTAAGAGATGAGACATATTGGGTGGTTTTAGTTGTTGTGGGTTAATTTAAGAAAAATTTATTCATAAATCCTATCTTGAAGAATGGAGATTCATTTAGTTTTAGGATTTTTTTATGGATCAAGTAGTCTCATTGATTTTAAAAATGTACATTTAATATATTTTTTTAAAATTAAGTTTATGGTTATGTCCTTATTTCTATTACGTTTTCTTATTTATTTATTTATTTATTTAGTTCTGGAAATGTAAGATACACAACTTATTATTTTGTGAAATTCAATTGAGTGAATCTAGTGGTACAAATGCCTTCCATAAAAAAAACATATAAATAAATAAATAAATAACACTATATAAGTCCACATTGTTTCACATTAAAGATGCAATAAAAAAAAATTAAAATGTAACATTATGTATCTCTACATTGATTTCTATTGAGCATAAAATTTTATGATATGGAAACCTTTTTGGGGGTGGTGGGTGGGTATCTAAATTTGGAGTGGATTCTAATATAAGAATCTTTTTTATTTGTAATGACTTAAAATGCAAGATTCTTTAAATATTTTAAAAGGAGTACAAAAATTTCTTACTCTGTGTTTGGTTGAGGGATTTGGAGGAAAAAAAAAAGGAAAAAATTATGTGAAACTATGTGAAATGTAGTTATATTTTATTTACATTTCACTTATATTTTTCCTTTCTCTTTCCAAACTCCTCCCCAAATCCTCCAACCAAACACAGCCGGTGTTTGGCAAGGGCTTTTTCAGGCTTTTTTGGTTATTTTAGCCACAAAAAACAAAATAAGCTATTTTAGCCATAACAAACAAAACATCACATCCAACATATAATCATTACATTCTTCTCTCACAAAAAAAGTCAAAAAATCCAAAAAGCCAAAAAGTCCTTCCCAAACCAAGCTTTTTAGCCCAGGCTAAAATAGCCAAAAAAGCCAAAAAACCAAAAAGTCAACCCACTTCCCAAACGGAGGCACAGCGTTAATAAGTTTTGGACAAATCTATAAGTTCAAATTGTGGGAATTTTATTCGTTTATGAGTATTAACTAGCATTCATGCTTGTAAACTGTAAGATTATATTGTCATTTATACACAAATGGGATTATTAAGTTCATTAGATTATTTGAAAGATTTATTAATTACTAAGATACAAAAGTAGGATTTATTGATGTTTAATTTAATTTAATTTATTTTTAAATAAACAAAGTTTAAAATTAGAAAGGTGGAGAGATGCGTGTTTTATAACAATCATATATCATGATTCAAGAGCGTGATTTTCAGTAAAAACAAAGGGGGTTCCTTTCACAGTCTATTTCATTTGAGAGTTTTGTTGATGGGTGTCCATAATTATAGGGCATTCTTAACACGCTAAAAATAATTATACAATTTTTCATAAAAGTGAATAATAGAATAATGTGAAAAAATTTAATATATTGTTAACCGATTTATCTGAGCACTTATTTAAAAAAAACAAAAAAACAAAACAAAAAGAAAACGATTTAATACGTGAGAATTCTGTTAAAACAAAGTTTTTAAATGTAAGATGTACATATTTTTATTTCATTTTTGAAGAAATTATTTTTATGATTCGAATCAATGCCATTAAAGATGCTAATGTCAAGCCTTATTGATTAAAAAAAAAGCTTTTTTAATTTTAGCTGGTGGTTGTTTTTGGGTACAGTGATATGCAAATAAAGTTGGTATATATGATAGCTTTTGCTAAAGATAAAATTGAGAGTCTGGTGGTGTGTCTCTGAGTTCCAGTCAAAAGTTTTATGCTCTCTGTTTCATGTGTTTGTATAATGTTCAGAGGAGAATGAGACTACTCATAAGCAATGTCCAGCAAGATTTTCTTCCACTTTCTTTGGGCTTTTTTATTATTATTATTATTATTTTTTTCGTGCACTACAAGTGTTTGATTAAATTCCTAGTATGGTCATTGGTTTTGGGCCATAGACATTTTCACTAGAAATTGGGATTTTAAACCAGTTTTTGAGGTAAAAATATGATCAATTTCTTTTCCTGATGTAGCATAGATGCAAAATATGAAATCTCTGAGCAGTGTAGGACTTGCTTTGAGTCTTGTTTGTGGGTTTCTTTTACTAGCTCTTGTTGCTGAGCTCTACTACTTGCTATGGTGGAAGAAGAGGATTGTCAACAGAGAGATTGAAGATGATTATAGCAATCCATTAAGAGAGTTCTTCTACATGTTCTGTTTGAAGAAGAATCCATCATCATCATCTTTAAGCTCCACAACTATCAACCCCAATGTCCATGATCCACAATCTCTGTTTCATGCACATTCAAACAAGGCCTTGTGGCCTAAACCCTTTGGAGAGGAGGAGGAGGATGATGGAGTGGAGGAGACTGAACTCATGGGACCACCAAGATTTCTCTTCACCATCAAAGAAGAAACTAAAGAAGATTTGGAGTCTGAAGATGGAAAGTCTAGAGGTGATAATAAGAGTAGGAAAGGGTCAAGAACTAGAAGCTTGAGTGAGAGTGAAGTGATTTTCACAGTGGAGACTCCATTTTTGACCCCAATTGCCTCACCACCATATTTCACTCCTCCACTTACTCCTATTGAGTCCTCATATGACCACCATGGATTTATGCCTCCCTTTGAATCATCATCAGGTGATGCAGAGGTTAATGTGGTAAGATCATCGCCGCCACCAAAGTTGAAGTTCTTGAAGGATGCAGAGGAAAAACTTTACAGAAGAAAACTAGAGGAAGATGAGAAAGGGGTTCATGAGATTGACGGGTTTGATCAAGATGGAGATAAAGCTCCTTCAACATCAGAGTTACTAAATGATGAAGAGGATGAGTCTTTTATTACACTCATTGTTTCTAAGAATGAGTAAGGCTCGCGGTGAGTTCAAGTCACGGAAACAGTCTCCCCACAACATTCATTGTTGTTGAGAGAGACAGAGGGAGAGAGCTTAATCACCACCACACAATGTACAATAGTACGATTCAAGCTCTTCACAGGTGCTTCCTCTAGCCCTTCAACATTCAGACCAACAACAACTAACAAGAACACCCATATCACATTAGAGCCTCCATCAACTGAATTAAAATGTTTTATTTTTTTATTTTTTTATTTTTTTCTTTTGTTTTCTCTTTCTGTTTTTATGAACCCGCTTGAATTTTTCAGTTTTAGGAATTGGGCTTTTGTTTTTTCAGTTGGGGGAGTGTTTGGGAATGAAGATATGGTTAATCTGTGAAAGCCCTTGTGCAAAGTTGTCTGTTTATACCTTTATAATCATCATGTGGATAGTGGTAGCACTGATGTTGTCCAAAAGGGCACTATAAATCAATTTTCTTTAAAGCTGATGCTTCATCTCCTTTTGTCTCCTTTTTTTAATTTTTATTTTATTTTTATTATTTTTGCAATATACAAACTAAAGTTTTTTGCCGAGTTATGATCCTTTTGTTGCATGTCTAACTCTGTTGTAATAAAGCAACATGCACCCAAAGGCCCCAACCAGCCTACCATAAATAACGCATGCCCATTGGACTACTGTTCAACCAACAGACAGGTTGGTAGATCAAAATTTTGATATTTTTATCAAGAGAGAGAAGAGAGAGAGAGAGAGAGAGAGAGAGGGATTGAAGCCGTAAACTGAATTAAGCTATTCATGCTGACTCATATTTAAATTGTTAAAAATTATTTAAAATTGATTAATTATATGGACCGTTATTTGGTGAAACAGATAATCTAATTTATTTTGTTTTAAAATCTCCAAAGAAGGAGAAGCATAATTGAGTAAGGATAAAATAAAATATCATTTTTTTTCTTGGATAATATTATCAGATTAACATGTTACTGTTTATATCAATTTTGACAGTAATATATATATATATATAATTTCGTAGTCAACATGGATCTTATTTAATAGATCTTGATGAGAGAATTTTAAAAATACTAATTTTATTAAAAATCGACATTTAAATCAAAAGTTAATACATTGGTTTAATATTTTGATAACAATGATATGTGTTCTAATTCTAATTCTAATCTATACTATTATATTATTTTAAGTGAGTCCAAATTTAATGTAAGCCCCGTTTGGTATAACTGTGGAAAAGTGAATGAGATTATAAATTTAAGCAGCAAATAAGCTATAAAATACATTTTTACTGTATAATTGTCATTTTTGCCCTTATGAACATAAAAATTATAATTTTATTATTTTCTTCACTTTAAATTTTGAAAAAATTATTTCATTAATAGAAGTTGATTAATTAGTACGTAATTTGATACATTTTTACATTACCACAAATTTATTTTTTTATTTTTATTTTTTTAATAATATTGAGTTCACAAGGAAATAAAAAAATGTCATTGCAATAAAAATACAATAAATCATATTGAAAATGCCTCAACCCCAAGCCTTTGCTTCATAGAGCATTAACAAAAAAGAGATTATATGCAATTATGATTTTCAAAAGTAATACAGCACAGTTCTTCCCTAAAGCTCTCCACCATATACACATTGGCAAACATTAAAAATTAAAATAAAATAAAATAAAACATTATGTTATAAGATCCTCAATTTAACAAAAGACAAGCTCTGTTGTACAAGTACAAAAATTACATGGAAAAGTTAATAAACAAGATTAGCCTTGGAAGATTCTCCAAAGCTAGTGAAAATATTGCACCCACAACAAAAATAAAAACAAAAGCGAGCAATATCTTCCCAATATACCACAAACTAATCGGCTTTGATGACCTCTCCTTCATATGATGTGAGGCATTGGAAATCTGCAAATTGACAACGAACACATGAAGAGTATGTAAGCTAATAATGCTCATAAAATTGGCAATGCCAGACCTCTTTTTATATTTACGTCTTTTGAACTTTTCAATATCAATCATTCACAAGGCCGGCACTCTATGGAATAACAAGACTACAAAGATTATGATAAAAATGGTTTCAATTTGGACAATTTATCAGTGTTTTCCAGAAAAAGAAAAAGAAAAAGAAAACAGAATGAGAACACAACCAAACAAACCCTCAGGTATATATATATGTGTGTGTATATATATAATTTGTGTCAATAGAGTCTATCCATCTCACACTTGCAACAACAACCATTGGCACTATAGCCTTTGACACAGCAATTACAAGTTTACCAAGTTTACCTTATGAGTTATTTGAGTTGTGAATTATTCTCCATCCCCCAGTTTCCTCGTTTTTATTTTTTATTTTTTTAAACCTTTGTTGATAGTTTTCATTTCATGGACAATTGAATCTTCCCTAAGCTGCTGCTGTATTCTCCACTTCGCACTTGCCATCCTATTGCTTTGTAATTTGAGAAGCCAGAAATAATATCTGATATCATTTAATATAGCTCTATTCCCTATCATGACTTGGCATGTATGCATGTTGATGCTAATAACATGCAGCACCATTAACAGGTACCAAGGTGTAATATCAATCAATGTTGTTATCCAGCAAGCTAGCAGATTGGGTTATGATAACAGCAGAAATCCAAAGTAGTGGTTGGATTTCAGATTTGATAACAGCACAAGTCCAAAAACACATTTGACAACCCAGTTTTTTACAAGTTTTTCTCAGAGTTCTATAAGCAACTATAAGTTTTTTATTATACTTTTTACCTAACCTCAATCAATGAATATCATAACCCAGTTTTTTATTATACTTTCAGTTTCAATCTATCAAAGGTTCACTAAGCCAATTTAATTGATATATAGACAACAATCAAAAAACAAAACACAATAAACACAAATTAGAAAATATAGCCATCCACAATTGGCATTTGGCCTACTTGAAAAAAATGCCTAAACCCTTTGGAGAGGAGGAGGAGGATGATGGAGTGGAGGAGACTGAACTCATGGGACCACCAAGATTTCTCTTCACCATCAAAGAAGAAACTAAAGAAGATTTGGAGTCTGAAGATGGAAAGTCTAGAGGTGATAATAAGAGTAGGAAAGGGTCAAGAACTAGAAGCTTGAGTGAGAGTGAAGTGATTTTCACAGTGGAGACTCCATTTTTGACCCCAATTGCTTCACCACCATATTTCACTCCTCCACTTACTCCTATTGAGTCCTCATATGACCACCATGGATTTATGCCTCCCTTTGAATCATCATCAGGTGATGCAGAGGTTAATGTGGTAAGATCATCGCCGCCACCAAAGTTGAAGTTCTTGAAGGATGCAGAGGAAAAACTTTACAGAAGAAAACTAGAGGAAGATGAGAAAGGGGTTCATGAGATTGACGGGTTTGATCAAGATGGAGATAAAGCTCCTTCAACATCAGAGTTACTAAATGATGAAGAGGATGAGTTTTTTATTACACTCATTGTTTCTAAGAATGAGTAAGGCTCGCGGTGAGTTCAAGTCATGGAAACTGTCTCCCCACAACATTCATTGTTGTTGAGAGAGACAGAGGGAGAGAGCTTAATCACCACCACACAATGTACAATAGTACGATTCAAGCTCTTCACAGGTGCTTCCTCTAGCCCTTCAACATTCAGACCAACAACTAACAAGAACACCCATATCACATTAGAGCCTCCATCAACTGAATTAAAATGTTTTATTTTTTTATTTTTTTATTTTTTTCTTTTGTTTTCTCTTTCTGTTTTTATGAACCCGCTTGAATTTTTCAGTTTTAGGAATTGGGCTTTTGTTTTTTTAGATGGGGGAGTGTTTGGGAATGAAGATATGGTTAATCTGTGAAAGCCCTTGTGCAAAGTTGTCTGTTTATACCTTTATAATCATCATGTGGATAGTGGTAGCACTGATGTTGTCCAAAAGGGCACTGTAAATCAATTTTCTTTAAAGCTGATGCTTCATCTCCTTTTGTCTCCTTTTTTTATTTTTTTTTTATTTTTATTATTTTTGCAATATACATAAACTAAAGTTTTTTGCCAAGTTATGATCCTTTTGTTGCATGTCTAACTCTGTTGTAATAAAGCAACATGCACCCAAAGGCCCCGACCAGCCTACCATAAATAACGCATGCCCATTGGACCACTGTTCAACCAACACAGGTTGGTAGATTAAAAATTTGATATTTTTATCGAGAGAGAGAAGAAAGAGAAAGAGAAAGAGAAAGAGAAAGAGAAAGAGAAAGAGAAAGAGAAAGAGAGAGAGAGAGAGAGAGAGAGAGAGAGAGGGATTGAAGCCGTAAACTGAATTAAGCTATTCATGCTGTCTCATATTTAAATTGTTAAAAATTATTTTAAATTGATTAATTATTTATAGGGAAATTTAGTTAAAATCTTTTCGTTGGACCGTTATTTGGTGAAAAAGACAATCTAATTTATTTTGTTTTAAAACCCCCAAAGAAGGAGGGGCATAATTGAGCAAGGATAAAATAAAATATTATTTTTTTTCTTAGATAATATTGTTAGATTAACATGTTACTGTTTATATCAATTTTGACAGTAATATATATACATATATATATATATATATATATATAAAATTTCGTAGTCAACACGGGTCTTATTTAATAGATCTTGGGGAATTTTAAAAATATTAATTTTATGAAAAATCGACATTTAAATCAAAAGTTAATACATTGGTTTAATATTTTGATAGCAATGATATGTGTTCTAATTCTAATTCTAATCTATACTATTATATTATTTTAAGTGAGTCCAAATTTGATGTAAGCCCCGTTTGGTACAGCTATGGAAAAGTGAATGGAATTATAGTTGTGGAAAAGTGAATGGAATTATAGATTTAAACAGCAGGATAGTATTTGGTAAATAAACTGTAAAATAACTTTTTGTTGTATAATTATCATTTTTGCCCTTATGAACATAAAAATTGTAATTTTGTTATTTTCTTCACTTTAAATTTTGAAAAAATTATTTCATTAATAGAAGTTGATTAATTAGTACGTAATTTGGTACATTTTTACATTAACACAAATTTTTTTATTTTTTTATTTTTTTAATAATATTGAGTTCACAAGGGAATAAAAAAATGTAATTGCAATAAAAATACAATAAATCATATTGAAAATGCCTCAACCCCAAGCCCTTCCTTCATAGAGCATTAACAAAAACGAGATTATATGCAATTATGATTTTCAAAAGTAACACAGCACAGTTCTTCCCTAAAGCTCTCCATCATATACACATTGGCAAACATTAAAAATTAAAATTAAATAAAATAAAACATTCTGTTATAAGATCCTCAGTTTAACAGAAGACAAGCTCTGTTGTACAAGTACAAAAATTACATGGAAAAGTTAATAAACAAGATTAGCCTTGGAAGATTCTCCAGAGCTAATGAAAATATTGCACCCACAACAAAAATAAAAACAAAAGCGAGCAATATCTTCCCAACATACCACAGACTAATCGGCTTTGATGACCTCTCCTTCATATGATGTGAGGCATTGGAAATCTGCAAATTGACAACGAACACATGAAGAGTATGTAAGCTAATAATGCTCATAAAATTGGCAATGCCAGACCTCTTTTTATATTTACGTCTTTTGAACTTTTCAATATCAATCATTCACAAGGCCGGCACTCTATGGAATAACAAGACTACAAAGATTATGATAAAAATGGTTTCAATTTGGACAATTTATCAGTGTTTTCCAGAAAAAGAAAAAGAAAAAGAAAACAGAATGAGAACACAACCAAACAAACCCTCAGGTATATATATATGTGTGTGTATATATATAATTTGTGTCAATAGAGTCTATCCATCTCACACTTGCAACAACAACCATTGGCACTATAGCCTTTGACACAGCAATTACAAGTTTACCAAGTTTACCTTATGAGTTATTTGAGTTGTGAATTATTCTCCATCCCCCAGTTTCCTCGTTTTTATTTTTTATTTTTTTAAACCTTTGTTGATAGTTTTCATTTCATGGACAATTGAATCTTCCCTAACTTGATCGTCGGAGTGCCCCCGGGTGGAAGAACCACCGCCGGAGCTTTTCTTTTCTGTTACAGGTTGTTGGAGCCATCTATTCTGCCGGTGCCTTGCTGCTGATCACTAAACGGGCAGTGTGGTCAGATTTTTACCCACACAGCATGTATGCATGTTGATGCTAATAACATGCAGCACCATTAACAGGTACCAAGGTGTAATATCAATCAATGTTGTTATCCAGCAAGCTAGCAGATTGGGTTATGATAACAGCAGAAATCCAAAGTAGTGGTTGGATTTCAGATTTGATAACAGCACAAGTCCAAAAACACATTTGACAACCCAGTTTTTTACAAGTTTTTCTCAGAGTTCTATAAGCAACTATAAGTTTTTTATTATACTTTTTACCTAACCTCAATCAATGAATATCATAACCCAGTTTTTTATTATACTTTCAGTTTCAATCTATCAAAGGTTCACTAAGCCAATTTAATTGATATATAGACAACAATCAAAAAACAAAACACAATAAACACAAATTAGAAAATATAGCCATCCACAATTGGCATTTGGCCTACTTGAAAAAAATTATAGGGTATGTTTGGTTTGTGTTTAAGAGCTGTGTTTTAGAGATAAAAAGTACGAAAAGTTGTTTGGTTTGGTTTTTTTCAAAAGATGTTTTGAAAAATTATTTTAAGAGAGAGTTTTGAAAAAAGTGATTGATTTGATGTGCGTGAGAGAGAGATTTGTTTAGAAAACTTGTTTGGTTTACAAGTTTTGAGAAATTTTTTTAGGAAAATTTGTTTAGTTTGATTACTTTTAAAAACTTATTTGTAGAGAAAATTTCCCAAAAATTTTTCACAAATACAAACCAAACGAACCCATAATGCTTTCTCTATGTGAGGAAGTGTCTCAAGCTTGAGTCTCATTCAGGAAGAATTTTTTTAACCAACGTAACGTAGAGGAATTTATTTAAGCAAAACAGAAGTTAAACCAATGTGGCCAACCAAATAGAAATTAAACTAAACAGAGATCACCCAACAGAAATTAAACAAAACAGAAATTAAATATTGTCTCAAGCCTTGAAGATTAGGGTTTGTAGCTTTGTTGGTTGATTTTGAACATGGAATAGATCACCCAAAAAATCAGAGAGAGAAGGGAAAAGGGAAGGAGAGAGAGACGGAGGGAGAAAGAGACAACGCTAGATGTACGTGTGTATATATATATATATGTATATATAACAAATAAAGGACATGAAATCTTACATTTTTGGTGCAGGTCAACGGAAAACGGGGAGGAAAGGAGTTCGATCGGTGTAGAAGTTTGTGTTTAATGCAAACTAAATTGTCTAATGATAATCCACAAACTCAATACAATTTAGCATTGGGGATAGAAGTTTGTGTTTCACGTTTTTCTTCTTAATTCTCTCAAAGGTATTAACATTTTTTTTTTAATGCTAAATTATCTTCCTTTTTTTCTTATTTTTCTGTACATTCTTCTGTACCCAATAATTATTTATTATTTTATATTATGAATTTTTCGTTTAAATTTTATAGTGATTATATATACAAAATTATATCAACATGTATTTTCTTAATTACATACACAAACTCAATTTCAATTATAATAATCAATTTTATATGGACTCTATTTGAGAAATACTTATTTTTTATATTTTTTTATTGTGTATTTAGTTTTGTCATTATCAGATTTCTTTTATATAGTTGATATTTTAATTTAATTATTATGATATTTGAAAAAAAAAAAGTATCTCGATGTACAAATAAATAAATAAGACAGAATGGGCTTAATTATGTTCATCACACTGATCAAATTAATTTTCTTTTTTATTTTTTACTTTTTTATCTATCTTATTGATGTCTTAATATTAATTTAATTTAATTTTTTTATTTAATATAAAATTATTTAATACAAAATATTTATATTTAATTTAGATTTTATATACCATTATACAATATGAATGAATAATTCAAAAAGAATATTAAAGAAAAAATCAATACTTTACGTATTTAATTTATATATTTTCTTCTTAATCCAATCACAACATATTTATTTTTAATCTTTTAAATAAATTTTGTATAATTCTATTTCTATATTTTTTTCCCAAATAAATATAAAATTAAATTAAATAATTAGAATCACTTTTAGTTTTATATTACTAATTCTCTTTCTAATTAACTATTATTTTTAATATCAAAATCAGCGTTTATTTTACTATCTTATAATTTAATATATATCATATAAAATCATTTTATGATAATTACACTTTTTATAGCACAATAGAACTAAAATTATCAAAATAAACAAATAATTTAACTAAATTTATTATATATAAATAACATTAAAATAAATAATTAAAATTAAAATTTTATTTTAAATTAAAATTAAAATCATTCTTTTGTAATACACATCATAATATAAAATATTATGATATTAATTAAAGTTAACTCTATTGTGATTTTATGTTAGACATTATATCGCTAAAAGTGATTTACATACCCGTGTAGATTCCAATTTGATATTGATTGATTAAAATAATGGAACTTAATTTTTATTTTTAATTTTTTGTAAAGTTTTAGAAGATAAATTGACAAATGTCAAATAATAAATAGTGTGAAACATTATTAAAGAATAATGATTCATCGAAAATGATTGTGCATATTTAAGGCACCTATTAATATTTATTGAATAATTTTTAAATAAAAATTTTGAATTTATATACACTTCTTTAAAAAAAAAAAAAAAAGTTTGAAAAAAATTATTTTTATAAGCCTATTTTACATAAGATCACACACAATGGCAACAATTTTTATTAACTATTAGCAAATCTGTTTGTATTTAGTTTTTAGTTGTCAAACTTTTTTACACATAAAGTATTAAAACTTAAAATTAATTTTTTAATTTAAAAATAAATTTCCATGCGATCACCTACTAA